AGGTTGCTATGAAATAGGGGTTTATTAATTTGAGGGAGAGTCCTTGTATTTCCAAATAATTTTGGCACACTTAGAATGCAGCCCACTATCAGCACATTATCAGGAAAAGATGTGCATTCTAACCCCAAGTTCAGCCATGGAATTGCTGTGTGGATATGGGTTAGTGGCTCTCCCTCTCTGAACTCTATATACTTGAGAGCATCCACCATCTCAAATGCTACCATTGTCACTGTGGCAGAGGGAGAGTTCTGGAATAGCAATTAAAGGCTCTGATAAAGAAATGTTGTCTGTCACTTTCTCTCATGGCTCAGTGGCTGAAACCAGTCACATAGTCCTGTCTTGGGACAAGTTGGTGCAATCCTGCCCTGGATCTAGAAAGCAGAAAGCTGGGAATATCTGGTGAACAGCATTAATGATGCCCTCAGTCTACCACATGGAGCCTGCCATTCAGAGTCCATCAAGGTAGGGAGTGTAAGAAGAGGGAACTTAAATGGAGGCAGGGAATCTGAGTTCCATTATGGGTTCAGATACTGAGACCTATACATTCCCCTAGCACTCCTAGGGGCTGGCAGAAATTCCACTTTGGGGTGTGGTCGAAGAAGACCATCTGCTCAAACTATAAGTAGCAGCAGCCAATGTCCAGAGCAAAGCCCACGGACAAAGTGCTGGAGGTGCTGGGAGTAAATAAAAGTCAGGAGCAGGGCCCAGCCTCTGGAGTTCAGGCAGGCAGGCAGCTTCATCTTTGCTCATCACAGGCTCCTTAGCCATTGGACTGCCCCACCCCTACCTCCCTGCCCCAGAAAGATAGGCACTTCTCAGTAGCCCTAGGCTCCCTCTGGAAATAAGCCCTCTGTTGGCAACTGGCTGGAAGGCTGTAGGAGCTATTATTTCTGGTGTGTGCACAGGTCTCATGGACCCACATTCTGCAGAGAGGTGACAGGCCAGATCAAGCCCCAGGAAAATAAGGAAGTGAGGCACTAGGAGTGAGGGCCCTGCCTGCATCTCTGAGGAGCCTCACACCCCTAAGTTTGATTAGCCCCACAGCCCGTCCTCAAGTTGTAATGTGACACATCTCAAAGCCATGAGTACAACTCTTGGTACCATCCTGCCCAATGTCCAACAAGCTAAACATCTACACTTTCATCCACAACTAGTTCAGTGTACTTCTGAAGTACAGTGTAACTTCTGACATAAGTAGGTTTTATTTCCTCTCAATATACACTTACCAAAGCTTAATAACATGAGCCCCGATCCTTAATATTATGAATCCTGAAAGCTATAGCAGAAAACTCCAACACTTCATTTCCCAGCCTGCTTTGCAGCCCCCATGGTTAGGATACTCTTAAGCAGCCATCTTGGATCCTGAGACAGAACTTTCAAGATAGCAGAGGGAGCCTGGGAGCCTGATAGTCATAAAGCCACCCTGTCAGCTTGAGCTGCCTTCCCTGAGTCTCTTACATGACACAAACTTTGTCCTGTGTAAGTCATTGTTATTTTGTGGTTTATAGTTACTAGCCACAAAAATGCAGCTGTGATCCTCCATAAAAGAGGCAGAAAAAGAATTGTTAGCTACTTCTATCTTCAAAGGAGTGTGGGGCTTGTTAAAAGGGTGACCCTCTTGTTTGGGTGAGCTCTTTGATGCAAAAGTGTGTCTGAAGCGGAGTATGAAATAAGGATCTCAAGAGCACTGACTTGCAGTGTATTATCCCATCATGAGAATTTGGTTTTCCACCAGCAATCCATGAGGATGGGACTGAAGAGGCGGTGAGCAGGGGAGAGAAGAGAGGAAATAATGAATTGCTCAGAGACTGGTGTACTCACAAAAGAGAAATAGCTGACCATGAACCCCACAAGACATGGAAAGCCCTCTAAGAGTGAGAAAGTTAGAGGTCCAATGAAGTTTGTTTTTCATGTTACTGAAATTCAGTCTATACCAGAAAATCAAGGTACTAAGTTTTACAGGAAAATTCATAAAGTGAAAAAAAACGCAGGAAGGCAGGAACTCAGAAGCAGAAGTGACATGGAGGATTTCCAGAAATCATGGAGGAGTTCAAACTTGGTCTTCTGTAGGGCCTAGGATGGCTATGCGTGGGAGGGGAGGATGTGCAGGGTATAAGTGCTCTTAGCTAGATCTCAAAGCAGGGACTCCTTAGCCAACATTTCCTACATGACACGAACCTTGCAGCCTCCTCATTGGACACCCTGCCTCCGGCTTCATGGGGTCCAATCACACCCCATGCTGTCCCAGAGAAGTCTTTGTAAATGACACATCTGATGCTGCTCCTGCCCTAATTTAAAATCCATTGACTCCACCCCAAGGTCAAGTTCAACCTCTGAAATGTAGCATTTGAGGTTCTAACCTATTTTCTCAACCTCATCTCTTTGTTGGTCCAGACCCACCCAAATAACATGTGCTGTGTCCGCCTTCTCCTACTGCCCCCACCTCACCCCACCCCAGTTCACTGAACTTGTAACTATGCTCAAGCTGCATCACCTTCCTGGGACCCTGAGCAACTTCCCTCTCTACTTATCCAGGAAAGGTTCTCAATCATCATAGAAATGGATTCTGGGTGGTTTAAGTAGCAAAGGTATACAGTAAAGGATATAGTACAGGGTGGCTTCCAGAGCCCCTGGGAAGCACAGCAGCCATCCCCAAAGTCACACCCCCAGATATTCCATGGAGATGCCACAACCATTCGTTGGGACAGGTATGGCATCAGTACCTCTGATGCTGCCCATGTGGGAGCTCCACCATAGCCCCTCTGAAGGCTGGGCACCAGCTCCCCTAGCAAGAGGCTTGCATTACAGTATCAGATGATTTCTGATGGCTGAAGTTAAGGTCATGTGCTTAGGAAGCTGAGAAATCAAGCCTCTGGTCTTACTATAGCAAGAGTCTCTGCCTCCTGCCAGAACTCATACGCTGGGGGGGCCACCCATGTGCAGAAAGGATTTTCAAAAACATTTCCAGAAAGCCAGGCAAATGCCCACTGCACTCATTAGAACCTGGCTCCAATTTCACCTCCTTTGTGATGTCCCCAAGATTGCCTTGGACCATTACCTGAGCCCCTTCTGTACCCTTTGCACCCACCTCCATCCCTAGGCATTTCCACTGGTGACCTCCCTCAAGGTTTCAAACTCCTCCAGGATAAGGGCCCAGGCAGAGTCTCCTCCTTCACTCCTCTGTCTCCAGAAGAGAACAGAGACACCATTATTTTGGAGTGAACAAATATGTAATTTAGTTATGCTCTCAAGGACATGTACTGCAAGAAGGACAAGAATTTGGGTGGGTGTGTATGTGCAAGGAGGGAGGGGCTATTACCAGTGGGTAATACAATTAACTATGATTTACTGAGCACTCATTATGTCCAGCCGACACCCCTCATCTGCAGTTTCACTTTCCAAAGTTTCAGTTACCCGAGATCAACTGGGGTTTGAAAATAATATAGTTATGTACAATAAGATATTTTGAGAGAGAAAGAGACCATATTCACTTAAAATGTACATAGTACATTTCTATAATTGCCACTCTCTTACTGTGCCTACTTTTGAACTTTGTCATACCTGTGTATGTAGAGGCCCAAGGATGGAAACAAAAGGCTTTATCAGAGAGTTGGCCAAAGAAGTCAATGGAAGGAAGCCAAGAGATTGGCCAGGCACTTACTTCCTGTGTTAGCTCATGGGTGCCTTCTAGAACTTTTCTTTTTTTTTTTTAAAGATTTATTTATTTTTATTTATAGAAGCACTGGGTACAGTCAGAAGCACGGGAGGGTGAGAGAATTCACCAGAGCCAGAGCAGGGAGCAGAGCAAGCAGAAGGACCGAAGTACACTGCTGAGGGGAGCAGCGGGCGGCAGGAGAGGTCCATGCGCCATGTGGGACCCTCCTCTGGTGGCCGGGGAGCAGCCGGGGATTGAACTGGCTCTGCAAAGGCTGCGAGCAGCTTCGCAACCCAGTGCTCAACCACTGAGCCAGCAGGGAGGCCCCTTCTAGAACTTTTCTACCTCAGTTGTCTCAAATGAGAGGGCAAGGACATGCAGTGTGGGGGTTCCCAGTTGTTCCCATGCACCCCTGTCCTTCAGCCCAGAAGGATATCCGTGCCCCAGCATCACCTAGGGTACCCAGCAACCATGAGGACAGAGGACGGGGTCAGGAGAGTGGTCAGAGGGGCAGAAGATCATGGAACTGGACTGAGAAGCTCGACCATCCAGAAACCACATTAAACAAAAGGGGCTCTGCCCTGAGAACGCTTCCCAGACTCAGGAACAATCCGTTCTACACATACATACTTTGTCACTTTCGTGCGAGCCCCTTCCTGTCAACAAATCACCACCAAGGAGTGTCTTCTCTCTGGAAAGCCCTAGGAAACACCTACCCAGCATCGTCAGGTATAATTCTCACATCCTTATGAGATAGGTGCTGGCAATGCCCACATCGACTTGAGACAACTAAAACTCCAAATGTGAAGTCTAAGGATCCAGACCCAGGACATCAGGAGGGCTGGACTGTGAACTTGGTTTCACGGAGCCCACAATTAGGGATTGGCTGAGTGGTTTCCTATGTCATCACAAGATTAGCAATATTTATTGAAACTAACATAAATTGGCGCTAACTGGGTAGATAGTAACCAAGATTTCTGCCCGTTATCAGATTACAGCTGAGTACATGAGGATGCTACATCAAGATCATCTTGTTAGCTGTTATTGAGGGTCTACAAGGCACCAGGTTCTGCATATATATTAGCTCTCATTTTCAGGACAATAAAAAGGTAGGGACTTAAATCATCCCCATTTTACAAGTGAGCAAACCAAGGCACAGGTTGGTGCCTGGATTGCCCTGGGTCATACAGCTGATAAGTACAGGTGCTGGATCCCAACCCAAGCCAGATTCCAAATGTCTTACTCTTCTTTATACTGTATCAAGTTTCCTCTTTCACTGGGCATCCTTTAGTAACAATAATTTAAAATGACAATGTGTTAGCAACAGGGCAGCATGAAATGTTACCTATGATGACACACATCTGGTGGAAGTGGCAGGGCAGGGGCGGCCATGGTACAAATCAGTGCTGAGGACTCCTGCTGAGTAAAGCCCTGTTTTCGTTTTCTTAGTGTGCATCTGAAAGCACCCTGTCATTAGAGAGGCTGGAAAATATCAGAAAGAAACAAACAAAAAGCTGCAGCAGAGATCACATGGTGCAGACGTAGCCAGGACATAACAGACAGTCAGTCTCCAGAGACTCTAAATGCTCGGAATTATGAAAAGCAGCGCAGTCCAGTCGAAGAACCGGCAAGGCTCTTAGGATGAGTACATGGAAGCAAGAAAGGGGCCACCCCAGGAACATGACGATAGAACAACGACTGGGTGTGGTGTTTAAATGCAGTCCTGGGTTCAGTCTGAGGACTCAGGAATGCTCTTGCTGAAAAAACCTGAATCTTGGATTAGAAAACTGGAAGGGTTACCAAGGCAACCACAAACTGACTTCTCACCTTGGGGCCAGCTCCCAGGCCCCGTCTCTAGTCCAGTTTAGTCATATATTTAGACAGCTCACTAGATTGTACCTGATCCCTCCGAATACGGACTGTATTCTGACATTTGGGTGAGGCCAGTATCAAAAATCCTAAATGGCCTTAACCGATACAGTCACTCATCATTTAAAAACATTTTGAAAAAACATTCCTGATTAAGGATCAGGAATTATCCACACATAGGATGATTGTCCCAAAAGGTTATTCAGTTACAGCTCGTGTGTGGGATAGGCACAAACACCCAGGTTTGTGTAATTACACTCTACAACATTCACATGACGACAAAATGTCCGAAAGACACATTTCTCAGAACATATCCCACGACTGTACAGTTGACCTTTGAACAACACAAGTTTAAACTGTGCATGTTCACTTATATGCAGATTTTCTTCTAATAGTCAACAGAAACTTAGGATATGGAAAATTCCAGTACAGTACTGTAAATGTATCTTTTCTTCCCTATGATTCTCTTAATAACATTTTCTTTCCTCTCATTTATTGTAAAAATATAGCATAGAACACATATAATGAAAAAGTATGTGTTAATTGACTGTTTCTGTTATCCATAAGGCTTTCAGTCAACAGCAGGCTAATAATAAGTGTGTGTCAGGGGAAGTCAAAAGTTATATTCAGATTCTTAACTATACAGAGGGTCAGTACCCCTAATGCCCACATCATTCAAGGGTCAACTGTACTTAGAAAAGCAAATTTCTTATTCATTCATTAATTATTTTTTTCATCCATCCGTTCATCATATATACATTGAAAGCCTGTATGTACCAGGCACTGGTCTAGGTGCTGAGGACATGATGAAAAAATAAAAAGATCTCTACCTTCATGGAATTTAGAGGTTAGTGGGGGAATTGGAGGTTTCATCAAATAATCTCCTAACAAAAATGTAAACTCATGATTATAAAATGTTATTAAACTTTTGCTAAGGATCAGGAATTATCCTAAAGGGATAATCAAAATGGTGCTTAGTCCTTTCCAAGGTCCCAAGAAGTAAAGATGAGAGAGGGAATGCAACTTTCCCAGAGTCATACAGCCCCCAAACAGACAGAGCTAGGATTCTAATCCAGCACCATCTGATGGGAAAAACCCATAGACTTGGTTGCTTCTTTCCTAATTTCTGCCCTTTCTCCTTGGAGATCTGAGTTTGGATTGAAGTTTCCATTCTTTCACAGTCTTTGACCTAAAATATCTCAACACCTTATGCCTACAATTCAGTGGTTTGAGCACTTGTTACACACAGAGTTTAATACCAAGAATCAACAGTGATTTTATTTCCTAAAAAATACCTGAGCTAAAGGATAACTGAGCTAAAATTAAAACAGTATTCTGCATGAAAATTTCAAAAGGTCTGGTACTATTAATACAGCAATGGCGCTCCCTGGTGACCATTACTATATACTACACTTCCCTGACTGCCAAGGAGAGCATTTTGGAAATAGTGGCCACCTGCTATTGCAAGTTTGGGTGGATAATAAGCCCCTAGTCTTGATGACCTATGGTCCTCATATCCCCACCCCAGACCATTCATATAAATTCCAGAAGCAAGGTCATAGGTATAGGGTTCAGCATCTTTTCATGGTTCAGAGTTCCAGCAATATGACCTACAGAGAGATTGCCAAGGGGTAAGCCATCTGCCACCATGCTGCAAGATCCCTCACCCATTTAGGTCATGACAGACTAACCCATCATCTCCTACTACATTCTTTCTTTTCTCAATGGCATGGTCACAGATGACCCATCCCCACCCTTCCTGTCTCCTATCCTATCATATGACACCAGGAAACAGAAACCCAAGCTTTCACTTTGAGTTAGGTATATTGTGCTGGGGGCTGGGGACATAGCGATGAACAAGTCACAGTCCCAATTCTAAAGTTTACACTCCAGCAGGGGAAACAGTTGGCCAATTAGTTTAGACATTATTCACTTTAATTACAATAATGGCAACAAGAATGAGGCTCTGACAGACACTTCTGGATTAGGTCTGAGGGTCAAAAGTTTTCCTTGAGCAAAGAGAGTAAGATGTGATGTGGCAAAATAAAAAATGAAGGTGAGGCTGGTCAAAGTGATAAGGGAGCTTGAAAGAGAATGAACATGGAGTCCAGGCAGCCCCAACTAGATGGGTTTCTCCTGGGGCTACAGGGGTTTGGTAAGTGTGGGGCCAATTACTAGGAATAGGCATTAAGTGGTCTCCAGGATGGTAGCGCATTATGACAGAATGTTTGTCATTAACCTTTCCAGGGAAAGGCTGAGCTGCTGTTAAAGGATGAGTCTAACACCTGAACATTTATTTTGAAGGTTAAACTCTCTGCACAGGAAATGTTGGAGGGAGAGCATCCCAGCTCTGTATTCTGTCTCTTGCCAGGAGCCAAGGATATGGCATAATTTATTATTTACATACTCCTACTACTTACATAATATGAAGAGATAACACTAACAGAATTGGCAAAGTTGTGGACAGGAGTTGAGCTAATATCTGACAAAAGGCTGAAAGGAAGAGAGGGTAGTTGGTGGTGGCATGGAGTTCCAGTGGTGAACTGTGGCTACAAAAAAATCAGAATAAAGCCTTACCTTGTGTAAGATGCCAGGATGCGGTGTACCTTTGCTAAACATGGCAAGATTGGATTCAGGAAACCAGTTTAAAACGTCGCCCTCTGCCTCTGTGATCAGAACAACAAAATCCCTGTGTCACTACTTCTGCCTCTGTAAAGTAGCGGCGATAATGGTGCCGCTTTTATTACATTATCACTGAAAATATTTAATATCTGGGAGGCTTATCACAGAGATTTCAGTGAGACTTTCATTTCTCCTCGCAATTTTGCGTTATTTCACAACTTTATAAAATAAGTATGCATTGTTATTAAAATCATAAAGAGGGGAAATAAAACCACACACTGTTGAATAGAAACTGGACGGTTTCCCAAATTTCCAGGATCAAATAGACGAGGCGCATGTTTAAAGCACAGATTCCCAGGCCACGAAACACTGAATCAGAATCTCTAAATAAAAAACCTGTTCACCTGTACCTTTAATTAGCCTCACAGATAATTCTTAAAATCAGGCACTGTTGGGACACGCTGCCGCCCAGGTAGGCCCGTCACACCCTCGTGAAAGAGGCCAGCCCAGGTAGCAGCAATCACGAGGCCGGAGCCTACAATTCCCAGAATGCCCGGAAAACTAGGGACGAGCGAGTCCGGCGCCTGCCGGGAATTGTAGTTTTAGTCGCCAGACTTTTGCCTATAAGAAAGCGGGAGATGACAGTCGACAGCCTCCCGCCCCACAATGCAAACGCCTCAGGTTACGTCATCCTCAGAGCGCCCGAGATTGAGTGGGCGGTTTCGGCCGCCGCGACCACCACCTCCGCTGCCTCCGGGTCGGCCGCCGCCGCCTCCCCCGCTGCCTCCCCCGCTGCCTCCTCCTCCGCCGCCGCCACCACCCTCTCCGGTCCATTCGCTGCCTCTGCACGACCCGGGCCCGCCGTCCCTGAGAGGAAGCCGCCGCCGGTCTCCCGCGCGGGCCCGGGGCGCGGCCATGGCGGACGGGGCCGGGGGCGCGGGCGCGGTGGGCGGGGGCGGAGCGGGCTCGGCCTCGGCGGGCGCGGCGGCGGGCGCGGCGGGGGCCGGCGGCGGGGGCGCCATCAACCCGGCCTCCCTGCCCCCCGGCGACCCGCAGCTCATCGCGCTCATCGTGGAGCAGCTCAAGAGCCGGGGGCTGTTCGACAGCTTCCGCCGGGACTGCCTGGCCGACGTGGACACCAAGGTAAGGGAGGCCTCGGGGCCCGAGGGAGGCAGCGTGGAGCGGAGGCCGCCGAGGTCGCGGCTCTCCTGTTCCCCAGCAGAGGAAAACAAAAGATACTTTTTAAAAATCTCAGCAGTGAAGTGAGAGGCCGCTTGGGGCAGCGCAGAGGCGCTCTGAGTGCGGGCACGCGTGGGCTCTCTGCTCGCCCTGTGCCTGCAAGCCCAGTCGCTTTTTTAAACTTGGGTAGGGCGTGCTGCGCTTATTAACCCAGACCTGCTCTTTCTCGAGGTGGGACTCCTTGACGCCGCGCTGCTGAGGATGGTGACCAAACCGGGGTGGGGAGTAATTCCAACGCACCAGCCTCAGGAATGGTGCAATGGTTCTTCCTTTTCTCTAGCTACGGGATTTGCAGACGATTTTGCAATTGAATGAAAGCACATTGTTCTAGAAGCAGCACCCTGATTTTGTACCCCGTCGTTAATGAAAGAGGATTTGGTGCCTATTTTTGGTCCTTATGCCATGTCAACCCCTCCCTCCCTTCATACATCCCTACCCCCTTCAGTGAAATGCTGTTTCACTCTACCTAGTTAATTGCCAGGGTTATTTGGAGTCAGTAAAATCTTGTTCTTTGGTGTCAGACAGTAGTTGCTGGGATGGTCATTTTCTTTCTTTCAGATACTTTTCTATTTCATTGTAGATTTAAGAGGCTCTCTTACTGACTGGACTCCTGGGGAAGTGATTTCTCTGGAGTGAGCCTGTCATGGAGATCTTTTTCTTACCTCTGAGCATGAGTGTTAGCTTAAAACTAGATCTTAAAGTTAGGGAAAGACCTAATTCAGTTAGTCACTGAACATGTATTGGTCTGTAGTGGGCTAGCTATACTGAAGGCAAGCCCAGAATGAGTAAGTCACTATCCAGTCTTCAAACCGTGTACTCTGGGGTAGAATACTGACCAGCAGTCCAGATGGATTCTAGATAGTAAGTGATTTATTCTGTTACTCTCCAACATCAAGGACCCAAGTAGAAGTGCTGTCCTTGAAGAAAGGTGTTTGATTTTCCTAATTTAAGGGTCCCAGATACCTATTCACAGCTTTCACCTTTCCCAGGACTCGGTGTTCTCATCTTCCCATCACGAGTTCTCCATTCGTATTTCTTATGTTCCACTAGGTTTTGTATTGCTTACTCAACGTAGTAGGCATATTGAGCAGCTGTTGGGGAGGGATGGAGTTGGAACCTTCCCTGTTCAGCATCTCCTTAGCCCTTCCCCATAGTTACCAGGTGGTTCTAATCGTTGAAGAGTTTTCAGGCACTTCTTACTGGGTCCTTTGTTGCTTTAGCCCCCTGCTTCACAAAGTGTCATCCTTGGATCACATTGCAATCCAAGCAGCATCATTATCACCAGAAAACTTATTAGAACTGTATATACTTAGTCCCCTCCTCCCCCAAGGCTCTGGAAGTTTTTAAGGGAAATCCCTCTAGAAAGAGATTCTCAGCTCAAGTTCAAACAATTGCAGGGAATGTGCATTGGTATTTGGGTCAAGCATTCACTCCTGTGGCCAGGAGAACATAGCCCCCACTGCCTTGCCCTTGTGAAGGGAGGAAGACAGTTACCAGGAAAGGGTCACTAGCATAGAGTACGTGGGTTAGCTGTACTACACACCCACCTTCCTGTCGTCTTTTCCCCAGATTTAAGGGAGAATCTTATATCTGTGAATCAGTTCTCTTGGCCTTTTGTAAGAGTCTGCTCATGGAGTTAGGGTCTGCTGATTCCTTTGCCAATTTGTTCTCTTGGTGACAGAGCTGCAGGTCAACTAAAGTTCAGCTCACCGAGGTAGCCTGCAGGTTGCCTAAACTTGAATCCAAACTGAGTTGGAGCTATAGGTACTCATCCTGGGTCCCAGGCCAAAGGGACAGGAGTTACCCAGGATGTGCCCTCAGAAGAGGGTCACCAGAGCTCAAGAGGCGAATGACATAGCACGGCTACATTTAAGGTCTCTTGTCACTGCCACTCCATGGACCAGAGATACCACGTTGCTACACTCAGCATCAGTGGGGTCAGGACTTATCCTACATGTGCAGTAGGACAGGAAGAGGAGTACAGGGCTGAACAGCAGTGTTCACTCTTGGATTGGAGAGCAGCAGCTGATATAGCACCAGAAGGTATTGGAGACTCAACCTGCCCCTCCTTTGTTCACTAAGTTTTGTTGTCCTGATCCAAGCTGGGTGGAGAACATTTGAGACCAATACATGCCTCTTAGCCCCTTTTTGGACTTAAGTTTTACTGCCCCTCAGCCTCAGTATTCTGGGGCTTTGACTTCAGTCTCCATTCTTATGTTATGCTGGGGTTTGGGTGGCCCCTCATTCATGCAGAGAACTTTCTGAGCCCTTCTTTGCTGCTGAGAGCACTCTGTAAGGTAGTAATAATTCGTTTTTACAATTGGAAATAATTGAATTCTAGGGATTGGGTGATTTGCCTAGAGTCAGAGAGCTAATAAGTGATGGATCTGGACTAGAACCCAGTTCCTTTGCTTTAGAAATAGTTTGGGCCTAACCGTGTGTAGGGGCAGGACTGGGCCACGGAGCAGGTTTTCTATGATCCCATGCAGACAGGGTAAAGGAGGACAGAGTCCTGGAGACCTTGGCGGGTTTTCAGGCCTTTATTGGGATTATACCAGGTATATGGCAGGCAGGGATGCTGGGGGTCCGGGAGGCTGACAGGCCTCCCAGCCCCCAGCCTATCTTCACTCTACCTGGGCTCTCTCGTAGTTCTGCTTCTCTTTCGGCTTCTACTGGTGTCCTCATGACGCCGCCCTTAAAAGCCCAGTCTTAGCCCAGGTGAATCCTATCTACAGCTGTCCACACCCTATTCCAGGTGTCCGCCATCAGGCATGCATTCAGGACCGCAAGGATCCATCATCTATCCTGATGGCAGGAGGGCAGAAAAGCCTGACATTTTTCCTTACCCTACACTGTGACTTTGCCACATGTTAGCCATATGTATGTAGTGAATTGTTTACTTTTTCTAAGGTTAAATGTATGATCTCTAAAATGGGGGCCAGGAGAGCTAGTAGGATGCCCTTTCTAGAGTGATTTAAAAAGTAAGTGAAATAATAAGTGTGGCCTTGTGCCCACCCACTGTAGAGGTGGTGCAGGTGATGGTCATTTATCTGGGCTCTGCTGTGCTGCAGGGGCATCTTCAGACTTGTGGTGGAAGCATGCTTCAGACTTAAACCTACATTTCTGTAAAAAGCCGTGCCCAAAATTTGGTGTGTATGTCTGACCTTGCCCCTTCTTTTTAATATTTTAGCCAGCGTACCAAAACCTGAGGCAGAAAGTGGATAATTTTGTGTCGACACATCTGGACAAACAAGAGTGGAATCCTACAATGAACAAAAACCAATTGCGAAATGGTCTGAGGCAGAGTGTGGTTCAGTAAGTAAGCAGAATTGCGAGCAGAAACCAGCAATCACAAGTCTGATACACAGGAGGCTGTGCCCCAGCACTGACATTGGAGGGGGAGGGGGAAGTGGGAGGGAGGCTGCATGGACCTCCTGCTCGTTTCTTCACAACTGCCTATGAATACATGATTTCAGAATAAAAAGGTTTAAGAAGTAGTAAAGGTTTTTCAGTAACAAACTAGCACTTTCAGGATGGCTGCTGCTGAAATCTGAATCTTTTTAAAAAGGCCAAAGGGGCAGGAGTTACCCAGGCTGTGGGGTAACATATCCAATCAAGGGATGCCAATGGAAATCATTACCCAGTGCCTTTCTGTTGTTTAGGGAGCAGACTAGGGGCATATGGCTCCTCCTAAGAGGAGGCAGTAGCTGCCACTCACTGATCAAGCTCTTACTCCTCTGGCACTGGTCCTCACCTGTGGTGTTGCTCATCTTCACAAAAAGCCTACTTTACAACTTAAGTCACAGGACAGATAAACTTTGTGTTTACCTTGCCTTCTAGAGCATTGGCCAGCATATTAAGAAAATAAAACCCTGAATATTTTGAAATATTTGTAAAGATGCCTTTAGCAATATGAAGACTGTCAACATTCCTGTTAATTTCCAGTGAGCATTGGTGCCCTCCTGGAGGGTACTTGTGGCACTTTTTGCATAGTGCTTGGAACAGGACCGTGGGACAAAGAACTGGAGCATGCCTGTAATCACCACCAGGTTGAGAAATAGAACTTTACCAGCACCCTCCAAACACCCTGCTTCCCTCCTCTCCCAGGTACACCTTCCCCTTCTCGGAAGTTACCTACTTCTGACTTGCACACTAATCATTTCCTTGCTTTTTTTCGTAGTTTTACCACCTGTCTAAATTTCCCTGCTTTTTGATTTGATCTTTTATGTATTTCACTTAACCTGAAAACTTGATTTTGGATTTAATAGTGGGCATCTTTCTGTAATTCTTGCTAACATTTTGAATTTGAGGCAAATCCTAATGATATTTTGACAGAAAGATCGACCCCTTGGCCGTAGGACGCTTTCATCGGATGAAACACTGTGGCCCTCTGCACTCGTTGTCCTGCCTAGCCGTTCAGGCCTAGAGCTGGACCCCAGTCCTACAATGTCAAGGGCAAAATAGGAAGTCCCTGTTCTGCCATTGAAACTAATTACAACTAATAAGTCTTTTAACTACTTGTTATTTGTTCATTTTGTCTTTTGTTTTGGCTCCTGGCAAGATTTCATGTTTCTCCCAAACACTTTAATGGTCTCCAGGAAAGCGAGCTCTTCTCTGCCATTTTGTTTCTCCTGATCAATCCTATACATCCACTAGAGAGCCCTGTGATTGGAATTGAGAGGCAGACCAGTGTATTGCCTTGTGATTCAGGAGAGGTGGCTTTGCTTTCTGACTGCTGACCTAGCTGTGTTGTGCTGCATCTTCAGGGACACCTAACTGTCTAGTGCAGATCTACCCAGAAGTGCCCTTGACTCTCCACTGGCGGTGCGTTTATATCTAGGGTTGGTAAGCTACTTGTTACCAGAGTCCAGGAGCACTTTATTCACTATCCAGCCTAACAGTTCAGGGCCATTTCTGTCTCACTTGTGACCATTTACCCTCACCATTTATTTCCTTGCTTATCCCGGCGCACCATTTCCCTAGTTACTATTGCCTATTTTTACCCCCAGCAACAGCTTGCATGGCCTCAAACTCTCAGGTCTAAAGGATATAAGAAAACCTGCCTGTGTGCCTGTGATGGTATTGCAGTGTTCTGTTCCTTTGAGAAGAACGTTTCAGCTTGAACCTGCATGGACTGTTTCCCAAACTGTTCAAATGTAGTTTATTTCCTGTCAATACAATCTTCCTCACTACCCCACTTAGAGCATCTGAACAGACAGTGGTCAATTTTAACTAATCTTTGTCCTTCACAAAGGAGTGGGGTATATTTTAGTTGCTTAGGAACATAGAGCTTATTTTTTTATCTGTTTGTTTGCTTCCAAGTTCCCGGTATTTTGGGTAACAGCCACAGCTGAGGGCTGTGTGGACTTACCCTGTTGTGAACAAATTTGTGCTGTCTGAGGGTTGAGGATGAGTAGCCAGGTTGCTGCTGGGGGTGTGGGGGGGGCAGGGGGGCTCCTGCTACTTTGCTGGTGAGAGACAAGGCTGAAGGAATGGAGTGAAGCTTGAAGCTCGTGGGCTTGGACAGTGTGATGAGGGCTCTCAGCTCTGTCCTTGTCCTCAGGTGCTCCGGGCCAGGCTGCTTAGTTTTGTTTGGTTCCTTTGTAAAACTGGCATGGGAGTGGGTAAGATGGTGAATCAGCATCCTGTTGTGAATTGCCCCTCCAGAGCATGACCATGGGCTTGAACTCTCTGATATGTAGGTTGTCCAGGTCAGGCGTAGGGAGCTCTCACATGACACTTGTTGAGGGGTGAAAGCTGAGTCTCAGAGGAACGAAGTAACGAAGGACCAATTTGTCTCCACAGGTCAGGCATGTTGGAGGCTGGAGTGGACAGAATTATTTCTCAGGTGGTGGATCCTAAACTAAACCACATCTTCAGGCCACAGATAGAACGAGCAATTCATGAGTTCCTGGCAGCCCAGAAAAAAGAAGCTGTGCCAGCACCACCCCCGGAGCCGGAAAGCCAGGACCCTCCAGCTCCATCCCAGGATGCTTCCTAAGGTCTGATATCCCCTCTTTGCCAGGAGCATTTCTCCCTGATGTAGAGATTATAAAATGGGCAGAAAACAGGTTAGTGTCTTTGTCTCATCAGAGAAGTAATCACTGCAGATGGACTTCAGCTGTTGTTCTGAGTCATTTTTCACTGAGAACTAATTAGTAGCGTTTCTGGGTAGGTACTTTCCTCTGCCACCAGAGCTAAACGTTTAAGCTCTGAGTAGATGCTTCATTAGAAACCAGCTGGGATGATCGGTGTGCACCAGGGACATTCCAATGAAAGTCTTGTTTTTCTGAAATTGCTGCAATGAATCTCACCCCTGGACATGAGTTAATTTGCAACTTGAATATAAAATCAAGTCACGCATTCTAAAGTGGCATCCTAGATGGGGTCCCAAGTCTGCTGTAAACCCTGCCGAATTTCCTTTTATTCAGTTGGGGTTTCAATTTACCACTCTTGATTACTGTGGGATTCTTCTGTTGTGAGAACTCCCTTTTTTATTACATTTGGAATTAAATTTTAAACAGTCAGCTGAAGAAGCACAAAACAGGGTTGAACTCTTTGATAGGTAGGTTGTCCAGGGTGCTTTTCTGCAGGGTTGCTGAAACATTAGGAATTCGGCTAGTAAGCAGTGGGCTCTCAGCCATAGTTGGTAACCATCATGCCCTATCCCCTCACCAAACTTTGTTGTTTGTGTATATAATTATTTAAGCTATTGATTCAGTGTAAACATCAGTGAGTGAACACAGCAAGAGCATTGGCTATTGCAGGTACTCACTCAAGAGTGAAGTTATATTTTTGTGCCTGTGGAAGACCTCCATTCCATTATGTAATGTAAAACAATTCAAGTCTTTCTAGTTAAATCATAAATTTCTTGAGGAAAATAAAATTAAGTATATGTTGTTTTTCATTAAGAGTGCCATTTTGATTGGCTTCACTTTCTTTTTTAGGCTATGCCTGGCACCTTTTGGAAGCGCCACTGAATTAGTGGTGAAGAACAGTTACAGTTCATAAGAGTACAATTTCAGAATGAAGACAGGGCAAGGTCATCACTGACTTCAAGATTCAGCCTTGACTGGGGGGCAGTATCCAGATTGAACAGGGAACAGGTTTGGTGTTAGGAAAGGTGAACCTGTATGCCCCTTCACGGGTTGCTGTCTGGCTCGCCTGTCCCAAGGGGATGACACCCTTGGGAGTGAACACTACAGAGACCCAAAGAAACACTACAGCCATTTGGTGTTGTCCTGAAACAGACCTTTATACTTGAACTTGGAAGCTGCGGATTTTAGGATTTGTGCTTAGGTATAGGAAAAGCTACAATGAAGAAACATAGGCAGTCCCAAAGAGGCCATTTCAAAGACTAAGGACAGGAAAGGTTAGGTGGGAGTAGGGGTGATGGTGCTCATTTGATACTGTTTCTCAGAGTCGCAGACCCAGTTGTACAAGCTACTGGCATCAGAGAGCCTTCAAGTCGTCGTGAGCCTCATACATGAACCGTATAGCTTCAGTTGCCTTTCCCTGTAAGAGGCAACAAAACACAGGACCCTAGAATTGTGAGGAAGCACAGACATTGGGGATAAGGAAAATATTTGCAGGCTTTCTGTCTAGGCTTCTTCCTATCCTGCAAGGGCTAGTGAGTCTTGGGGTGTTTATTTTATTCTCGTGTTTGTGTTTTTTTTAGAAAAGTGAAAATGTCTTAAGTTTTGTAATAAAATCATTTGATACCGTTACTCCAAAGCTTCAGCTGATTCTTAGACCCCCAGTGTGTGAAGGGCAGCTTTTCCTCTCTGCACTCCATGTGTGTTTTAGATGGTGGTGAAGGCTGGCTGGCTGGAGGTCCATGGACTCCCGCTCTAGGTGTAGCTGGAAGCAGGCAGGCTGGGCCCCTCCCCTGATTCAGGTCTTTAGTTTGTTGTGCATTGTATCGGGGTTTCTCAAGTTTGAATGTGCAGAAGTATCACCTGGGGCTCTCAAGAAAAATGCATATTCTGATTCTGAAGTTTGGGGTGCAGCTGAGTTCTCAAGATTCTGACAGGGTCTGGATGATGCTGATGCTGTAGCCCCCAGCAAACACTCTGTGTCCCCAAACTTGGGTAATACGGAAAAAAAAAAAAAAAAAAAACTACTGCACACCAAGCTTGTTAGATTTTTTTATTTGTTACAGGGCAGGATGAGGGGCACCCCAGAATCCCCATACCTGCCCACTGTAAATAAGTTCTGTCATCTGCCTCATCAAGACAAAACATACTCTAGTATGTAAGACCTTAATGGAAAGGAACTTTAATTAGTGTGCAACAAAGAAAAAACAAAGAATATAGCTTCCAAATCAAGCACCCAAAGTTTCCCATCCCCTTGCAGGTAAATGCCCAGCCAAATAGGGTTGGACCAACGCAGTGCCACTAAGGCCCGAAAACCTGCCACAGGTTTAACGTACCTCCTGATGGTAACCTATAGAAAATGGTCAAACAGCCAGACAAGTCTGGAAGGAAAAGAGCAAAATCAAGATAAATGCTGCTGCTGCAGGGAACCTGGCACCTTCCCTTTTCCTGGGGTCTCCTAGTGTGAAAGATTGCTAATAGAATTAATGTGCATAAAGAAGAATAGACCCAATAATAGTTTCTCATTAAAACTTCCAAAAGTATCCATCCCCTCATGGGAACCAGGGTAAGCCTGAAGGGGCCAAAGCACAAAATCTTGCCACAAGTCCAAGGTATCTTCTGGCTGGGAACCACAGGAAAGGGGTTCAGAAGCAGGTCCCAAAGAGCTAGGACAGAAGGAGAGCACACATTAAGAGAAATGCTGCCATTGTCAGCCTCCCCACTTGTCTCTCATCTGTCTCTCTTAAAATTATCTCTACGTGCGTCTTCTTAAGTCATCTCCAAAGTCCCACGTCCATGAGACTAAGTCAAAGCAGGAGAAGCAAGAGCCCCAGAGCTCGCCTGCCTCCCATGTTCTATAGCCTCACGTGGCCACTCAGTTCCAGCCCTAGTTCTCAGTAGCTGGTCCAAGATGGCTGCATGTAGTGGGGACAGGGAACATGTTACCTCCCCTAACACACCCTGTGCACCTTACATGTAGGAGAGCCAGGAGGGCCACTTTCATGGTCTTGTTACTGGCAATGGCCTTGGCCACATGGTAATAACTATCCATCCTCTCCAATTGCTCACATCATCTGAGAGTCAGCCAGTCTTCTGACTCCAGTCTCCCAATTGCATTGGGCCATGCTTCCTAAAACATTCCTTTCAAGTATCTCCCTCTCTTACATACTTTTGAAAAGGAAGAAGTAGATGAACTTAGACACCTACTAGTTGGCAGGCATTTCCATACGTGTGATTTCATTCATGATCTGTGATGTAGGATTTATTCTCCATTTTATGGTTGAACCCAGGCCTGGGAAAGATGAACAACTGACTAATCTCCATACAACTACTAATGGGGAAAGAGGTGAGATTTGAAGCCAAGACTTTTCTGAATTTGAAGCCTATCATCTCCCTGCCTTTCCTACTTTGTCTACCTCCCTATTAACAGAATAATTTCAAACTTGTCAGTCTGCCGGATTCACCCTTCATTGCCAATAGAGGCCCAAATCAAATCAACTTGACCTCCCGCCTCTCAGCACACTCCCTTAGTCCTCTCCAGCCTTCGTCACCTTTGCAAAAATGCTTTTCCCAGGGTGGAGTCTACAAACTGATAGTTGGTGGGCTCTGCCCTTCAGCATGTTCTACTGGTCATGGGGTCGTGACTACTGTATTTTTTTTTAATAATTACCACTATTTTTAAGTGGGGAAACAGCCCCACTTCTTGTTCCTGGCTGTGATGAAAATGTTCCTGTGTTCCTGGCTCCTGATGAAAATGCCAAAGGCTGGCGCCATTTTTGTATTCCGACTGCAGAACTACCAGCTTGAGCTCCAAGCACTCACCACTTCCAACCTGTGGAACAGGCAAATGCAGCTTGCTGGCTTGCCTCCCTCCCTTCCCTGCTGGCCCCTGGGGACATTGGTGTTGGAGACACTTGCCCTAGAGTGTCACTGTGCTGCCATTACTTAAGACCATTCAAGAACATCTCTTCAGCTAAAGGGCCAGATCTAAACAACTCTCTGCATAGGGTTAGAGGCTATACAGCTACATGTATAGGGTTAGAGGCTTGCAGCTACATGAGTTGGGTTCTAGAATCTGCGATTGGGCTAGAGCCCGAAAGTCCCTCTCAACGTGCCACTCAGGCAGATGAAACTCATGCAAAGCGAGAGGTAGACAGCACAGAGGTGGGTGCAAGGTCCCACAAGGAGGATGCAGACTGAGGAGACCAGCACAATGAGCTGCTCAGATTCACCCCAGAGGTGGTACTCCAGGGCTAACGCCAGAAGTGGGCTTGTCTGTGTAGCCCAATCAATGTCAGTAGCTTGAAGTCTGGTAAAAGGGTAGTAGGATCTGCCACCCCAAGATCCAACTGTAGTGTTTCAGGACTTGCCACCCTAAAAATAAGGCGCTATGGTAAATAAATTATTTTAAGTTGTAGGCGCTTGAAAGCCTGCAAGATCAGAGGGAGTTTGCTCTGGACCTTGGTCTGCCTAGGCAAATCATCCAAGAGGAACTTGATTGTCATTGATTTCCTCCCCGAGAGTTTCATCAATCAGGATCTCATCACAGGAGAGAGACTAGAAGTGAACACTCCCCCTGACGAGCTCTCCTTCCTCTATTCCTCCCTCCACGGGCCCATTCATCTTTCCCCAAAAACCATTTCCTCTCCCCAAGAGGCCTACCTCCCCACTTCCACTTTCCCTCTTAAGATGATATTAAAACTGAATTTTAAGCCACCTGGAGGAGTTACTCATTTTTCTCTGTATACACAAGGCACACATATTAACAAACTTCTGTTTTTCTCTTGTTAATCTTTTATTACATGGCTCTCAGTTAAGAACTCAATAGAGGGACACGTCTTTCTCTTCCCCTATAAGAGCCATCAGTAGGGATATGAGAGATGCCAGAGAGGCTACATATGGCAACACTGAGCCAGCATTCAAGAGTGCAACCCAGTCTCCACGGAGAAGATTCTCTTCCTCATTCAACCACCATGAATGCTTCTTGGTTGAAGAAAGCATCGCTTTGGTGATGGCTGGGTATCATTTTCAACCCATTGTTCCTTCTCCATTGTTTGGTTGGCATCTATTATAATAAGAAGGTTTCTCTCGTCCCCATCTATTTATTCACTTCTTTATTTCTATCTGTCTAAACCTTTTGATTTCTATTTTATTCAGTGTCCTACAATCTGGTATTACCATTATTTCTTAATGCGCACTTTGTCCCAGACTTTGCCAGGGAGTGGCCCTTCAGCCTGGTTCTTGCTTCCGTGTGGCTCTCCGTGAGCATTGCCTCACTTTCTGGCACAACGAGAAGTCCAGGCTCATCTGGTACTTTGCCTCGCCTCCACCCTGGACTCTGACATTTCTCCAAGGAGCCTTGATTCCTTTGCCTGGGTCCTGTGTGCTGCTCCCAGGCTTTTGCAGAGTTCATTCTAGTTCCCTCCCTTCCATAACTGTTAAGTTTTTTCCTACCACTCTCCCATTACCCAATACATTTACCTTGGATCAGTTACCCAATCTCCCATTGCTGCCACCCACCGAAGCCCTGTGAATCTCACCCTGATCTGGCTCTGACCCCCCACGCAGGTTCACTGCCCCACCCCAACTCCACAGCTGCTCACCTAGTGGCTCAGTGGCTGTAAACCTTTCACCTGCTCCCTTCTTTAAGAGAGCTACGAACTGACAACTTCCCGAGAAGGAGCTGGCCAGGGACTGCTGACAAATGAGAGATGAACTGGCTGAAGCAGTGACTCAACACCATATGACAGTCCAAACCAGAGGGACAGGCGACTTCACCACAAGGGGAAACAACAGGCTTCGCCCTGGTGAGGCAGTGCGAAAGCAGGTTTTGCAGTTCAGCTAGCCCTGTGTTTTCATGGTCATGTGATCGTCCCATCTCCACTTGCCCTCTAGCTCTTCTATGTGTCTTGCTGTGGCTCCATGCAGGCCCCCCTGGAGGCAGGCTGCCTGTCTTTCTGTGCCTGCCCGAGACTTGGTCCCCACACCCCAAGTCAGACCACCTCAAACATACCTGCCATGTTCACTGCAAGTCCAGGCAGCCGACCTCATGAGCTGTGGAAACTAATCGGAATTTATTTATATTTCATGTTATTAATAAGCTAGGATTTTACTGGTTTCCACTCCAAGCGTGAACTTCTCTTTCAACGCTTGGGCAACAGTGGATGGAAGCACAGTGGCTGTCACTGGCTCAATCGCCACTGAAGGAAGGATGTGATGTGTCGCTCCGGTTGTCCCTCAGTTAGTCTATGCTGGAAAAAGCTTGTGATTGGAAGCAGAGAAATGGGTCCCATTTGACGTAGGGACCCAGGACCACTCTGTCCTATCTTGGTACCATCCCCCACTACCCTCCATGCCCTGAGGAGGATGTTTACACAGTTGAGGCTGGTTAACATGGTCCTTCACTGTCAGGTGCCGTTGGCCCCTGACACAGAACTCCAGGAGAGAAGCCAGGCCATGTCGGGAAGGGTGGGCTGCCTAGGCACAAGCCAGCTCAGGGGTGACATGGCCTTGAACCAAAGTCAGCATTATGAAAGCCAGCTCCGCCTGTCTTCTCTGTGCTGAAGCCCCAGGCTTGGAGCACGCCACTTCAGTGGGCGGGAGACCTCCCCTGCCGGAGGAAGAAGGAGAAAGGAAGACAGGTGGCAGGAGAGGTGTGTGGGCACTCGGTCCTGGAGTGGAGGGGGACCAAGTCCTGGAGCATGGCAGAGCATGCCGGGACATTCCGAGACAGAGAAAGCCCCACACTGGCAGCCGTGAGAGAAGGACAACAGAAGACACAGGGAGGCATCTTCTAGGCCTTGTTCTCTTCACTCAGCTCCTATGCACAAACGAAAAAAGAAAGAGGGTGTCAAGACCAGCCTGAGGGGGTAGAGTCAATTCTGTGCCCTCTCTACTCTCGTGACATGGTTGGAGGACAGCAGTGAGCAAGAACATGGGACCTGTTGTTAACACACAACCAAGTGGCTCCCTGGGGACTTCTAAAGGGTCTGGCCATCTGTGCACACAAAGGCAGAGTTGATTCTTAGTGTGCGTAGAGAGGGAAGAGAGAGAGGACTTTTTGGGGAAGAGAGGATATTACTAATAGTTTCCCAATAACACACCCCAAATTACCCATCCCCTCAAGGGCAAATGCCCAGCCAAACAGACCTAGTCTGGAGTGGGGTCACTGAGGCCTGAAAGCTTGCCACAGTCTAAGGACTTAGGCAGGGAACCATAGGAAAGGGCTCTCAAGCAGGTCCCAGAAAGCTGGGACAAAGGAGCAAAACCAAAGTACTAATGAAGGTAAGAACTGCCATTGTCAGGCTCCCCAACTGTCTCCCATCTCTGTGTCTCTTCCAAGTGTCTCTACATGTCTCTCCTTCATATGTCTCCCTCTCTGTCTCCTACCCAGGGTGCAAGTCAGATCACAGATGCAAGAGGAACCCCCTTTTACATCCCACTGGCCTCCCATGTTCTATAGCTTCACCTGGCTGTTCAGCAGGGTGGGGAACATGGTACCTCCCCTTATGCTGCGACAGAAGACGGGACCCAGACATGTTGGCATAAGTAAACACCCGCTCCCCAGAGGCCCCAGAGGTTACTGGCCTTGAGGGAGGTCAGTTGGAGGGTTTCCGCCTGATTTCATGGAAATAACCCCTGAGCCCAGGACAGGGTGGGCCACAAAAGACCCTCAGCCAGGCAGAGCAATGAGCTGGACACTGAAGCCAGAGGGCACCCAGGCCACCTGCCCTGCTTGTCTCACCCTACCCCGCGCTGGGTCTGGCCATTGTCCTGCCCTGGGGTCTTTGCTTTTCTTCAGGTTATGGCCTCCCCAGAGGGAGCACACTCTCTCAGTGCTCCCAAGTTTACCTGGCCCCCAGGCATGACGAGTGCCCACTCCAGCACTTAATCCCAATGTGACTCTTTGCCATCCCAGACAAAGAAACAGAATCTCAGGAAAATGACTCTTCCCAAAGCTCGGAGTTTGTAAGAGACAGCTGAAACTGGAATCCAAGCTTGGCTCCCAAACAGTTTCTCACCAGCGCCACATTGAAAAATGCTTCTAAAACTGCAAGAAACCAAAGAAATCATCAGCCTTTGTGTCATTCACTGGGCACACCTGTGGTGATGCCCCCAAATCAACCCATGGAGCTTCTCGGTTCTTACCCTTCTTTCCCCAGTGCCAAACACGATGCCGCCTCACATGTAACAAAGCATGTTTGTTGAATGACTCTACAAATAGACACAGAAATAAGAATTTGAGTGGGAAATTTTTCTCTGGAAGCATTGACAACGTATCAGTACTCTGTATGGGGGCTTTGCGGCACAAATCATTTCACCCTCAAAACCAGCGCAGAGGGTTGGGGTCTGAGTCTCATTTTAAAATGAAAGAAACAGACTAGAGGGTAAGAAATAGACTAGAAGTTAAGAAAGATGGTCAAGGATCATGCAGCTCTGGACACAGGGCTGAGCGTGGACCTGGGGCCGGTGTTCACTGAGAAATGAGCAGGCTATAATATAATCAAGAGAGTGTTTCTTAGAGAATAGGGTCAGGATCCCAGGCCCACAAGCAAGGGGCCATCCCAAG